GGCCCCATACATTGGTATGCAATGTAGCATTTAAAAGAATGAGGGAGGCTGGGCGGGTGGCTCACGCCGTAACCCCAGCACTCTGGGAGGCTGAGGCAGGCAGATCACGAGGTCAAGAGATCAAGACCATCCTGGCCAACATGGTGAAACCCTGTCTCTACTAAAAATACAAAAATTAGCAGGGTATGGTGGCACATGCCTGTGTTCCAGCTGCTTGGGGGGCTGAGGCAGGAGAATCGCTTGAATCCGGGAGGCGAAGGTTGCAGTGAGCCGAGATCACGCCACTGCACTCCAGCCTGGAGACAGACTGAGACTCCATAAAAAAAAAAAAGGAAGATGTGTATGTGCTGACATGTACTGATCTCTAAGAAATATTTGTAAGTGGGGAAAAAAAGTTTGCCAAACAATAATTGCTATTATCACTTATGTAGAGAGAAAAAAATATGATGTATTTCTTTAGATTCGTGGGTCTTTATCATGGCTGTGTATTCGAATCTATGCATTAGAATCAGCTGAGGAGCTTTTAAAACTCCCAATGTCCAGGCAGTGCCCAGGACAGTTACATCAGAGTCATGAATGGGACTCAGGTATAAGGGCTTCAAAAGCTCCCAGGTGATTCTAATGTAAAGCCAATGTTGATAATCACGGAACTCTGTCTCTCTCTGTCTCTCTCTCTCTCTCTCAAACACACACACACTTTTGTGTGAACACATAGAATAACAGACATGAAAAATGCCCACAAACCTGACTATGGTGGTAACCCCTAGAAGAGAACTAAGATTGGAAGGGTTTTGTTGTTGTTGTTTTTTGTTTGTTTGAGGCAGAGTCTCGCTCTTTTGCCCAGGCCAGAGTGCAAAGGCGCGATCTTGGCTCACTGCAAACTCCACCTCATGGGTTCAAGCAATTCTCCTGCCTCAGCCTTGCAAGTAGCTGGGATTACAGGCATGCACCACCATGCCCGGCAAATTTTTTATTTTTAGTGGAGATGGGATTTCACTATGTTGACCAAACTGGTCTCGAACTCCTGACCTCAAGTGATCCACTTGCCTTGGTCTCCCAAAGTGCTGGGATACAGGTGGCATGAGCCACAGTGCCCATCAGAAAATATTAATCTAGGGCTGAGATCAGCAAGCTATAGCCTACGGACTAAATCCAACCAGTTTCTTTTTAATAAAGTTTTATTGGAACACAGCCATGGCCATTTTTTTTTTTTTTACATATTACCTGTGGCCACTTAGTCACTACAGTGGCAGAATCAAACAGTTGTGACTTAGGGACCATATGACCCATAAAGCCTGTAATATGTAGTGTCTGAAGCTTTATAGAAAAAACTTGCGGATCACAGCTCTAGAAAAACTTTAATCTGTGTTTTTGAAAACAGAGAATTCACTCACATTTGTGGAATTTCGAAATACTTAAACACTGATAAATAAAAAATGTAGATATCCAAAATAGGAAAAGAGAAAACTGAAAAGATACAGCGTATTAATGAACAATGCTGATATCTATATAATGGGATTATTTGTGATTATTGTCTTTTTTGCATTTTTTGATATTTTATAAATTAGCCTGTATTGTGTGTGTGTGTGTCACACACACACACAAACATATACACATACACACATATATACACATATATATGTGTATACACACACACACACACACGCACACATATATTTTTTTTCTTTTGAGAGGAGGTCTTACTCTGTCACCCAGGCTAGAGTGCAGTGGTATGATCACAACTCACTGCAGCCTCCACCTCCCAGGCTCAAGCAATCCTCCCAGCTCAGCCTCCAGGGTAGCTGGGACCACAGGCATGCACCACCACACTTGGCTAATTTTTGTATTTCTTTTTTTTTTTGTAGAGATGGGGGTCTCAGTATGTTGCTCAGGCTGGAGTGCAGTGGCACAATCATAGCTCATAACAGCCTCAAACTCCCAGGCTTAAGTGAGCCTCCCACCTCAGCTCCTGAGTAGCTGGACCACAGGTGTGTGCCACCATGTCCAGCTAATTTTTTGTATTTTTGGTGGAGACAGAGTTTTGCCATGTTGCCCAGGCTGATCTCAAACTCCTGAACTCAAGCAATCTGCCTGCCTTGACCTCCCAAAGTGCTGGGATTACAGGTGTGCGCCATGGTGCCCAGTTATATTTCTAAAAAACACAAAGCTTATTTTAGCATCTGGGTTTGCTTTGGTGCACATTGCGTATGTCTATCAGGATGGCCCACAGGAACTTGAAATGCAACTTGTACAGAACCAAACTCTCGTATTTCCTCCTTTCTCAACCCAACCCCACAGCCAGTGGACTCCTCCTGCTGCATCCCTGGAGCCAGTCCCCTTCCACTCCGCACCATAAGTCCCCAGCTGCAGAGTTAGCTTTGCCTTATCCTTCACTCCAGGTTCAAAGCTCTGAAAGAGAAGAGACTTCTGATGAAATGTTTGAGGAACAGACAGTAACCATGCAACCCAGCATGCAGAGCTGAATGCTTGTCGATGAGAATGATCAGCTTCACGACCCCACACATAAGCAGGCTCCATCGCTGGGTGGGAAAGGAAGCCTTGCTTTCACAACATGTTTCAGTTCTCTGGACCTGCTGGCTCATCTGTGAAGTGGGAGGTTTGGCCTGGATTGAACCTCAGTTCACCTCCTACTCTAAAAAGGCCTAACTCTTTTATCCTACAAGGACAAAAGCTGCCAGTATCATTAGTTTATTTGAAAATACTGAGTGGGCATCTGCTATGTGTTCACTATGGAGCCAGGGCAGCCCACACTGTCAGTGCACCAATGGTAACACCCTTAGCATTCACTGTACCCATGCTGGATGGTGGATTCTTTCTGCAAGCACCCATCACTCTCCAACCAGGGGCTGTGTCTGGCGATGGTGGGCCTGTGCTGAGCCATCTTGTAGGGAAGGCCAGGGTAGCAGGGAATTCCCCCAGGAGAGCCCTCCCTCCACCAGTGATCAATGAGAGTGGGAGGATCAATACCCCAGCTTCCTCTCCCCAAGATGTATTCTGCACTTTCTCCCAGAGCTTCTCAGGGATAGGAAGCTCCAGTTGTCCACAAAGGTAACCTGCTCCTTTAAATGCCTTACACTGGCTTCTTTCTCTTCCCTGTCTCACTTCCACACTCCCTGACTGATGCTTCTCTCAAATAAACTACTGACACTCATATCTTTCTTTCTTTCTTTCTTTCTTTCTTTCTTTCTTTCTTTCTTTCTTTCTTTCTTTCTTTCTTTTTCTTTCTTTCTTTCTTTCTTTCCTTCTTTCTTTCTTTCTTTCTTTTTCTTTCTTTCTTTCTTTCTTTTTCTTTCTTTCTTCTTTCTTTCTTTCTTTTTCTTCTTTCTTTCTTTTTTTTTTGAGACATGGTCTCACACAGTCACTCAGGCTGGAATGCAGTGGCACAATCTTGGCTCACTGCAGCCTCTGCCTCCCAGGTTCAAGCGATCCTCCCACTTCAGTCTCCTGAGTAGCTAGGACTACAGGCGAGTTCCACCATGCCCAGATAATGTTTTTATTTTATTTTATTTTTGTAGAGATAGGAGTCTCCCTATATTGCCCAGGCTGGTCTCGAACTCCTACACTCACAATTCTCCCGCCTTAGCCTCCCAAAGTGCTGGGATTGTAGACGTGAGCCATCATGCCCTGTCCGCACTCAAATCTTATTCTTTTTTTTTTCTTTCTTTTTGAGATGGAGTCTCACTCTCTCACCCTGGCTGGAGTGCAGTGGCACCATCTAGGCTCACTGCAACCTCTCCCTTCCGTGTCCAAGCAGTTCTCCTGCCTCAGCCTCCCTGAGTAGCTGGGATTACAGGCGTATGCCACAACGCCCAGCTAATTTTTGTATTTTTAGTAGAGATGGGGTTTCACCATGTTGGCCAGGCTGGTCTCGAACTCCTGGCCTCAGATGACCCGCCCGCCTCGGCCTCCCAAAGTGCTGAGATTACAGGTGTGAACCACCATGCCCGGCCTCAAATATTATTCTCAAGATCTGCTGGGGGGGCTGCCTCACCTAAGACAGCTAGTTACAGTAAGAGATACTAAGGACTGCAAAATATGTCTCCACCCATAATGAGCTGACCATCCAGTTAGTTGTTTTCAAAGGTAGACATTAAAGCCTGAAAACTTTTGATCCAGCAGTCCAGCTTCTAAGAATATAGCCTATGGAAGTAATCACACTGGTGCACAAAACTTGCATACAAAATGTTCATCTTTCATCAGAGCTTCGAGAGTAATAGATAAAACCAGAAAAATGTAAATATCACTTGAGGTCAGGAGTTTGAGACCAGCCTGGCCAACATGGCGAAACCCCATCTCTACTAAAAATACAAAAATTAACCAGGCGTGGTGGCTTGTGCCTGTAGTCCCAGCTACTTGGGAGGCTGAGGCAGGAGAATCGCTTGAACCCAGGAGGCAGAGGTTGCAGTGAGGCGAGATCACACCACTGCACTCCAGCCTACGCGACAGAGTGAGACTCCATGTCAAGAATAAAAAGAAAAAAAAAAGAGTTACAAACTGTTTCTGGTATATATCATTTTTGTTAATATTTTTATTTAGAAAAAAGAATACTAGAAAGCTGAAACACCGAAAGTTTGACAGTTGCTTGCAGTTTCTCTTCTCTGAGTTTATCTGTATTTTTCACCCTCTAGAAAGAACGTGCCGTTTCTTTTCAGGCAATGCATGATTTCTTTTCTAAGTCTAGGACCACAGCCCTCAACTCCAGCACTGCTGACATTTGGTAACAGGTTATTCTTTGTTGCGGGCTTTCCTGTGCACTGTGAGATGTTTAACAATGTCCCTGGTCTTGTTGCACCAGGTGCCAGTAGCGCCCTTCTCCCCAGCAGTGACAACCAAAAATATCTCCAGACACTGCCAAATGGCTCCTAGGGACGAAATTACTCCTGAGATTTTGAGAAGCACAGTCTAAGAGAACCTAAAACCATAACACGTATCAATGAATGACCAGAAAGTGAAATAAGATCATTCCAACTTTGTTTCAGATTTGCATGATATTTTTTTCATTTTGAAGAAACCGACGTCCTGCCAACACTGAACCTAAAACCATACTTATTCCAGAAGATGAGGCTGCATTCTCAAATGTGTAAAAGAGCAGCAAACAAGAAGTGCCAAGATGCAGAAGCCACGTTTCCCCTTTTAAACTCATTTGTCTACGTGCGAAGAGGTTGAGACCTCCAGAAGTTGAATCCGTGGCAGCCTCACAGGGCACCCATTCCCCATGTGTCCCTACACTGGACCAAGAATGTGAGAGAAGCACAACCCTCTGGCATGTTCTCTATCCAGGACGTCCTAAGGACCCTCATTCTCACTGATGGACTGTGGCTTCTTGTAGTACACAGATGCAACTGACTCAAGAGAATTCCCCAAGGGTTTTGTGATAGAATATTAGTCTGATGGAGAAGATTCCATAAACATGTCATCTAGCACCATGCTAGGCTCTGAGAGGAACACCGTGTTCAAGATACCTACCCTTCAGGGATCCTCCCATTGCAGCGAAGAACACCCATGATCAACACATCATCAACAAAATCATTCCACAGAGCAGATGGGTCGAGTCACATGGAAAAGTCGCTTGGAGGCAGCAGGGAAGGGCAGCCTTTATCTGGTGAGCCCCCGGGGCAGGGAAGTGGGCATCTATGCAGAGATCTGGGCGTGGGCTGGTGGAACAGAAGGGAGAGACATGTGGCCAGGCTACAGCCAAATAGAAGGCCAGTGAGGAGGGGAGAAGTCGGTGGATCAGGTCATGCCTTAATAGGTCTTGGTAGGAACTGTGGCTCTTGCTCTAATTGCGCTGGGAAAGCACCTATGCGCGGTAAGCAGGGGAGGGAAAACGTGTGGTTTATGCTTTTGGAAGACACCCTTGACTGCCACATGGGGAGTGGACAGGAGCTGGACAAGGCTGCTATTTCGCCTCCGCGGAAGCCCAGATGAGAGAGATGGACAAGGGTGGCCCCACTAGGTGCGGAGGCGGAGGCAGCGGCAGCGGCAGCGACAGAGACAGAGGCAGTCCTGTTTGGATCTGTGTGGGAGGTACTCAGGGGCCGTGGCGCACAGCTGAGGAGTGCTGGCAGTGTGGCACTCAGGGCTTTGCAAATCTCCAGGGTGTGAAGCGGTGACTCATAACAGAGACCGCGAATGCCAGGGGCCTGGACACCCATTTTCATTGGTTTTTTTTTTTTTTTTTTTTTTTTTGAGATAGAGTTTCGCTGTTGTTACCCAGACTGGAGTGCAATGGCACGATCTCGGCTCACTGCAACCTCCGCCTCCTGGGTTCAAGCAATTCTCCTGCCTCAGCCTCCCGAGTAGCTGGGACTACAGGCGCGCACCACCATGCCCAGCTAATTTTTGTATTTTTAGTAGAGATGGGGTTTCACCTTGTTGACCAGGAGGGTCTCGATCTCTTGACCTCGTGATCCACCCGCCTGGGCCTCCCAAAGTGCTGGGGTTATAGGCGTGAGCCACCGCGCCCAGCCATTTTCATTGTTAAATAGGCTACTAGGGCATCTTGTAACATCCCTGCGAGGCAAAACCCAGGGCCCCAGGAGCTCTCAGCTGTGTGAGCAATTCAGACCAGAGCCCAAAGCGCAGCCCAGTGCGGGAAAAGCCCCAGATTCGTCTTTGACAAATCCCTAATAAGTAGCTGATGCCTAAAACACCACCATTTGAGATTTCTTTGGAGTTTAGGTCTTTAGCTCGGAAGAAAATGCAAATTCCCTTCCCAAAGGCAAAACGGAAGGTGGCGAGGGAGACTGGACCTGAAGTTAGCAGTGTGATCGTGAACTTGAGGGCAGTCAGGCATAGAGGTGGGTCGTGACAGAAGATTCAGATTTCTGATTTAGAAACAGCTTTCGGGCTGTGGAACTGGAAGCCATCAGGGTCACAGCAGCTGGTGAGCACTGGGAAAACAGGTTTTGATGGGATGAGAGGACAGGACTCTGTGGGTTCGGGGATCTCAAAAAGAAGGATGCAGCAATTAGCACCAGAAAGAGCTGCCAGCTGGCAGGAAGAAAGCTTGGCTGCGTCCCAGGTTTCCTAAGCGAGCCCCGGCCTGGCCTTGAGTGTGTCTGGTCTGCAAATCACCAGGCCCTTGCCTGGTTATCCTGCAGCTGCTGGTGCAGCCCAGCCTTGGGCAGAGTGAGACACTCCCTTCTGGGATGAATCCTGTGGGAACCCTAAAGGCAGCTTTTCCAGGCTCCTCCGGGCTATCAACCCAGTTAATTGGAAAACCATGTTCCTGAATAACTACGTTACTGAAATAATTTCAATAGCTTCTGAAAGCACAAGCAAACCTAATTTTCTTACTTAATTTCTTCCTTTTTTTTTTTTTTTTGGAGCGGGGGACACAGGGTCTCACTCTGTTGCTCAGGCTGGAATGCACTAGTGCAATCTTGGATCACTGCAGCCTCAACCACCTGGGTTCAAGTGATCCTCCCACTTCAGCCTCCCAAATAGCTGTGACTACAGGTCTTACTTTGTTTTTGTTTTTGTTCTGTTTTGTTTTTGAGACAGAGTATCACTCTGTCACCCAGGCTGGAGTGCAGTGGCACAATCTTGGCTCACTGCAACCTCTGCCTCTTGGGTTCAAGCGATTCTCCTGCCTCAGCCTCCCGAGAAGTAGCTGGGACTACAGACACCTGCCATCATGCCCGGCCAATTTTTTGTATTTTTAGTAGAGATGGGGTTTCACCATGTTAGCCAATCTGGTCTTGATCTCCTGACCTCGTGATCCGCCCACCTCGGCCTCCCAAAGTGCTGGGATTACAGGTGTGCAGGTCTTACTTGCTAAAAATAAACAATTTTGCTTATGTTTTAGTTCACTAACTTTTTTAAAAAAAATCTCGACTTGAAGGCATTGAAAAGAACATCCTTATTCCAGTCTTGATCACATTTCACCCTACCTGTCTAACTGCAGGATGCAGAAGTCTTGGAAATAGAGCTCAAGAGCTCTAGATTTTTATTCTGTTCACATTTCCTTTCCTCCATTCATTTGATCCTCACTGACCACTCACGCTTTGTTTGTTTCAGACGGTGTCTCACTCTGTCGCACAGGCTGGTGTGTAGTGGTGCAATCTTGGCTCACTCTGCCTCCCAGGTTCAAGCGATTCTCCTGCCTCAGCCTCCCAAGTAGCTGGGATTACAGGCACACGCCACCATGCCTAATTTTTGTATTTTTAGTAGAGACGGGTTTTCACTGTGTTGGCCAGGCTGGTCTTGAACTCCTGACTCCAAGGGATCTACCCGCCTCAGCCTCCCAAAGTGCTAAGATTACAGGCATGAGCCATTGTGCCTGACCTCACATTTTAAATTCATTCTTCAACTTGTTTTATAAATAGTGGATTCCTATTCCTACATCAGCTACTGTAGTAGAGGTTGAGGAGACTGAAAAATTAGATTATTTGATTTCTGCCCCAGAGGATCCGCTACTGGTGGGAAGAATGTACAAACAAGTCATTAATGCAAAGAATGAGCCCTATATCAGGATATATTCAAATCATATATACTAAATTTTAACTTACACTTTAATTTACCAAGTAAATAAATTCTGTAAGTTCCTCACCACGTATTAATGTGGTTTTTGACTAAATTCCAAAAGAATGCCAGACATGTGACAAATTTTCTCATTATGTTAGAGCACCACCTATGGAATTCTTATGTAATTGCAGTGCTGGCTTTTTATTTCTTATGTTAGATGTCGGCTTTGTACATAATTGCGTAACACAATTTTTAATTTCTTGTGTTAGAATGTCATCATGTGGAATTTTTGTGTAATTGCAGAATATATTTTTTATCTCTTATGTTAGAATGCCCCCTGTGGGGTTGTCATGTAAATTGTAGGATTATCGGGCAGAATTTTTTTTTCTTTTTTTGAGACAGGGTCTCACTCTGTTGCCTGGGCTGGAGTGCAGTGGTGTAACACACTTGGCTCACTTCAGACTCCACCTCCCAGGCTCATGTGATCCTCCCAACTCAGCCTCCAGAGTAGCTGGGGCTACAGTTGCACACCAGCACGCCCGACTAATTTTTTGTTCTTTTTTATTAGAGACGGGGTTTTGCCATGTTGGCCAGGCTGGTCTCCAACTCCTGGCCTCAAGAGATCCACCTACCTTGGCCCCCAAAGTGCTGCGATTACAAGCATGAGCCACTGCATCCAGTGAGAGATTTTTCTTTTTTCTTTCTTTTTGAGACAGTCTGGAGCTGTTGTCCAGGCTGGAGTGCAGCAGTGTTTTTCCTATTAATGAGGTTAGAGTACCACCTAGTAATAGTTGCTTGTAATTGCACACATGTTTTTCTCGTTACTCTGATTACATAGCCTCCTGATGATAGAATTTGCCTGCAATTGCATCTGAGAGTTTTCCGTTACTCGAGTTAGAGTGCCACCAGGTGGAATTATTGTGTAATTGCAGGACAGATATGTTTTTCCCACTATAGTGGTCCCAGCCAACCCTTATCTTCAGGAGACATGTTCCAAGTCCCCCAGTGAATGCCTGAAACTTCGAATAGTACTAAGCTCTCTGTATACTGGCTTTTTCCATCTAATCACCAACATGGCTACTAAGTGAAGAATGAGAGGTAGCACATTCGGTGTGGATACACTGGGCAAAGTGATGATTCACATCCTGGGCAGAACAGGAGGGGATGGCGCGAGGTTTCATCACACTACTCAGAACAGTGTGTAATTTTAAGCGTGAATTTTTTTTTATTTCTAGAATTTTCTGTTTAATATTTTTGGTGGAGATTGGCCGTGGATAACTGAAACTGCAGAAAGCAAAACCGTGGATAAAGGGGAGGGCTGTACGCAGGTTAGTGCGCCACCTGGTGGAATTTTTCTGAAACTGCAGAACAGATGTGTTCGTTATTTCTCATGCTAGAATGAATGCCTGGCGGAATTGTCCTTTGTTATAAAGTACGCCTATGGTCCTCAAACTTGGCATCCAAAACACCTGGAAAGCTTTAAATTTTATTTTATTTCTGAGACCGGGTCTTGCTCTAGCACCCAGGCTGGAGTGCAGTGGTGTGATCACAGTTCACTGCAGCCTCAACCTCCTGGGCTCAAGAAATTCTCCTGCCTTAGCCTCCCAAGTAGCTGGGACCACAGGTGTGCCACCATGCCCAGCTAATATTTGTACTTTTAGTAGAAATGGTGTTTCACCATGTTGTCCAGGCTGGTCTCAAACTCCTGACCTCAAGCAATCCTCCTGCCTCAGTCTCCCACAATTCTGGGATTACAGGAGTGAGCCAGAATATCCAGCCTGGAGAGCTTTTTAAATCAAAGATTGCAGGTCCCCACTCCCAGAGTTTCTTATTCAGGAGGTTTGGGATGGGGTCTGGGAGCTTGCATTTCTAATAAATTTCCCCATTTGCGTTGATGCTGCCTGTCTGAGGCTGCACTTTGAGAATTACTAAGTCCACACTCCTCAAATTTTAGTTGCACACGTAAGTGGAGTTTTTTCCTATATGATTTTCACAGGCCAGGCATGGTGGCTCACGCCTGTAATCCTAGCACTTTGGGAGGCCAAGGCAGGTGGATCACCTGAGGTCAGGAGTTTGAGGCCAGCCTGGGCAATGTGGTGAAACCCTGTCTCTACTAAAAATACAAAAAGTTAGCCAGGTGTGGTGGTGAGTGCCTGTAATCCCAACTACTTTGGGAGGCTGTGGCAGGAGAATCACTTGAACCTGGGAGGTGAAGGTTGCAGTGAGAGATCACGCCATTGTACTCCAGCCTGGGTGACAGTGAGATTCCATCCCCCCGCCAAAATTTCACAATGATTTCATCTTTGAAGAACTGCAAAGAATTCAGGATACCTTTTTTTTTAAGAGTTGGGGTCTTACTATGTTGTCCAGGCTGGTCTCAAACTCTTGGGCTCAAGTGATCCTTCTGACTCCTGAGTAGCTGGGACCACAGGCACGTGCCACTGTGTGCAGCTTGGGATACCTTTTGATTAAATCTACCAGTTGCTTTTGAAACCAGTTTTTATAACCTGACCTAAGCCACTTTACAATGTAGGGTTTTGGTCTGGTTTTTGTAGCCCTACATCCTAGAATACGCACTCTTGAAATATCTGTTGGAAGAATGAACGAATATGGCCCT